GGCTGCGGGCTGGGGCCGCGCTGAAGTTTTCGCCTCCTGTCCTTCACTGGTTTTCACGCACCCAAGTCTGAGGTTTCTTTGTTGCAATGTTGGGGTCTGAGAGTAGACTTCTGGAGGCTGCGGGCGGGAAGCACAGCTGACCCCACCCCCCATGTCTTGTCATCAGTTACCTAGTCTGAAACGCTAAGGCGGAAAAAGTGGCAATGAGCTGGAAGACATGCCCAGCCTGCAGGCCCAGGATAGAAGCTGGCGGCCTGAGGCAGAGGGACCCCAGATCTCTGAGGGGCACCAGGAGTGCTCGTGGCTGCAGAACACAGGTAGGTGCCCAGCAGAGGGCGGGGCGAGGCTCGGGCTCCAGGCTGCGAGACCACCGGCCACCCCACCGTGGAAGGAGTGGGGGTAGCAGACAAAGGGGGCGGCTAGGAGAGGTTGAGGGGGGGGCAGTGCAGGGACAAGGGAAGAGTGAGGGAGAGGGAAGGGAGGCGCCCAGGAGTGCAAAAGGGGGGAAAAGGGAGGATTTGCAGGGTGTGATGCAAGTAAATGACCACGGAGCCGAGGGGGAGGGCTGGGGAAGTGAATCAGTCTTGAGAAGGTTATTGGAAGTTGGTTCCAACCGGGCTGCCCCAGAAACTTCACAGGACATCAGAGCCTGAGTAGACGGAGGGCAAGGGTTGGTTGCGCAAGAGAACTAAAAGTGAGTAGGTGTGCCTGAAAACAGACCCCGTCGTCGTTCTGGCTGTGATCCGACTCCTGACTTCTGAGCCCTACCTGAAGGAAGATTCCGTTCTAATGGCGGCTTCAGGTTCGGTCCACGCAGAACCCCTGTTTCTGACTTTCCCTTTCTGCCCCGGAGGCTTCACAGTTCTCCCAGTTAACAGGCCGAAGTCAAAAGTTCTGTGTGCTAGTTCAGCCCCACCCAAAGGTTTACTGGTATATCAATGTCAGCCAGAAAGCATCCAGGTCTCCTTCCTGGTGTCTATAAAAAGAAGGTAATTATAAATTTCTGATGTGCCCTACAAGATTTTTCTGAGGGTCACATAAGATAGTGTGGCTAACTACTCATAATATATGATAATTGCTAGCTAAAGAAGAAATGGCGTTAATAATAGTTAATCACTTACTATACTCTTATTACACTCAGCAGGGGATTTTGCCTACTGAGCTTT